ATATCTAATGTTCCAGCCTCCTTTATTTGGATGACTTTTCTTTCACTGCTCTGCATTGCCACTTCCATAAATCAATGTGTATCAGGCTGTTTCTGGGTTTTGTATTCTATTCTGTTGGTCTGTGTCTATTTTGTACCAGTTCCACCCTGTCTTACTCTAGTTTCATAACAAATCTTAAAATCTGGTAGTATAATCTCTCCAAATGTTTGTTCTTTTTCCAAAATCATCATTCTATTTTAGGTCCTTTGCATTTCCATATAAATTTTAGAATCAGACTGTCAGTTCCTACAAAAAAAAAAAAAGCCCAGTGGAGATTTGTTTTATGCACTGGTGGTAGATTGGCTCTTTCTCCTTGAAGTTCTATAAATTTTTGCTTTATTTTGAAGTTTTAAAAATGCATACTGGTTTAGAATTATATTTTCCTTGTGAATTGAACCTTTAATTATTACACAGAAATCCTGTTTCTAATAATGCTGTCTTAAAGTCTACTTTGTCAATATATTGATCCCTGCTTACTTTTGATTATTTGCCTGCTTTCTTTTTCCATTCTTTTATTTTAAACATTTTCTGTCCTTATACTTCAGGCAAGACTCAAAGAGACTTTCACTAAAGGAACTTCAAAGGATATACTTCAGTTGAAGGAAAATGGTCTTAGAAGAAAGGTCTAGGATGCCAGAAAATGGATTTTAATTATCCAATCTGACAACCTCAATATCTTAAATACTCCATTTATTGTATTTTTATTTTTATTTGTTCCACTTTTCTATGCTTACTTTTTAAATAAGATTTTATTTATTTATTTGAGGGAGAATGAGAGAGTGGGGAGAGGGGCGGGGGGGGGGAGAAGGAGAGGGAAAGAATCTCAAGCAGACTCCATGCTGAGCACAGAGCCAACCTGGGGCTCAATCTCACGACTCAGAGATCAGGACCTGATTTGAAACCAAGGGTCGGATGCTTAACCGACTGAGCCACTCAGGTACCCCTCTATGCTTCTTTTTTATTCTTACTTTGCCTGAAGCTTGTATTTTCTTATTTCTTATTCCAAGGTTCCCTCTTCTTTGGTTTGTGATTTACACACTCTATTTCTATTCTTAGAGTAACCCTTAAAACCTGCCGTGTATATTTAACTGAATAGAGCCTGTTTCTCTACTTTTTCAACTCCTACAATTCACTCTTTAACTCACCATTCTCTGGCTTCTGGTCCCACCATTCCACTAAAACTGCTTCTGCAGAAGTTTCCAAATGCTGAATTCAATGGTCCTTTTATCAATCTGTATCTCAATGGATTTCCCTGCTAATTTGATATTTGTGATCATCCCTCCTTCTTGATATTCAAGTCCCCAGGGATCCTTGACATTGCACTTTCTTGGGAGTTTTTTGCTTTGCTTTGCTTTCCTTACTTCTCTGACTCCTCCTCCTCATTCCCACACCACCTCGTCTCCTTCTTGGGCCTTTCCTCCTTAACCCTGATTAGAAATGAGTATTTCCCCCAAGATACTGTGTCCAGCCCACAGCTCTTAATTTAAAAATCCATCCTATATGATCCCCTCCACCCCCACGGCATCAATTACCAGCCTCCATGGGGCTGACTCTCAAGTTCATTTCTCCATCTTAGCTTCTTCCTTGAACAAACCTCAGATTCAAATCCATTTCCAGCTGGTCAACCAGACCTGGATATATCACAGGCATTGCAAATTCAACCTGCTTAAAACCAAATTTCTAATTTTCTCTATCTCCCCTCTGAAAGGGAAAAGCCAGCTTCTCCTCCTGTAAATTCTCTCTCACACACACTAGAAACATGGGAGATTTGATTCCTTCCTCTCCCTCCATCCCACATCTCATCTCCATTCTACTTGCTAAAATATTTTTTCTGGTTGTTTTTCCCAAATAGTATTCTATAGTTATTAGGTATTCCAGAAAAAAAAATTGATTTCATGGAAAAATAAGTCTTGGTAAATGCTAGAAAGCCATGAAAAAAGGGTCTTTACTAATGAGAATGAGAAGACAAGCCACAGTCTGGGAGAAACTATATGCAAAAAAACAAAAACAAACAAAAACACCTCTGAAAAAGGACTGTTATCCAAAATACAGAAATAACTCTTAAAACTCAACACTAAGAAAACAACCTGATTTTTAAAATAAGCAAAGACCTGAACAGACACCTCACTAAGGAAGGTATATAGATGCCAAGTAAGCATCTGAAAATATGTTCAACATCAGGTCACTAGGGGATTGCAAGTTAAAACAATGACATACCACTATGCACTTATTAGAATGGCCAAAATAAAAAATACTGACAATGCCAAATGCTGACGAGGACGCAGAGCAACGGGAACTCTCATTCATTGCTGATGGGAATGCAACATAGTTCAGCCACTTTGGAAGAGTTTGGCAGTTTCTTGCAAAAGATATCATACTCTTAATATATGATTCAGTGATCATACTCCATACTATTTACCCAAATGACTGGGAAAGTACTCCATACTATTTACCCAAATAAAAACCTGCACTTGGATATTTACAGCAACTTTACAATTGTCAAAACTTGGAAGCAACCAAGATGTCTGTCAGTAATTGATAAACCATGGTATATCCAGACAATGAAATACTATTCAGTGCTACAAAAAAAATGAGCTCTCAAGCCATGAAGAGACATGGAAGAATCTTAAATGCATATTTCTAAGTGAAAGAAGTCAATCTGAAAAGGCTACATGTTCCATGACTCCAACTGTATGACATTCTGAAAAAGGCAAAACTATGGAGACAGTAAAACAAAAACAAAACTGTGTGTGTGTGTGTGTGTGTGTGTATCTCAGTGGGTGCCAGGGGCTAGAGAAGAGGGAGGGATGAATAGGGAGAGCACAGAGGATTTGTACCACTGTGGCATGGGATGCCAATAGTGAAGGAGGTTGTGGGAATGGGAAATAGGGGGCATATGGGAACTCCATACTTTCCACTCAATTTTGCTGTGAACCTAAAACTGCATTCAATAAAGTCTATTAATTTTTTAAATTATGTTTCATATCATTACTATGTGGATAATATATTCTAGATGCACAAGAGGTGACAGAACATGCAGTCTTTCCCAAACTTATTTCAGCGTTTTTGTGGAACACCTTTTAGCATCTCACATGCCTCATAAGCTGCTTATGAGCTGCTGCTTTGAGCCACTCCATTCTCCCCTACCCCCACCTACCATGGCCCTAGTTCAGTTTTTGCCATCTGTCTGCTCCCCTAGGTCTGGTCTTGTTCCCTCAAACACACTGTTCTCCACAGTGCAAGGGTGAGCTGCCTAAAACTCAACTCTGACAATGTCACCCCACCATTCATAACACTAAGGCCAAACTCCCTCCTAGAGTATATAGGAAGCACCCATGATCTGGCTTGGCCACACCTCAGTCTCCTCTCTCCCCATACCAACTCACATCAGACCTTACAAACATTGCACTGCTTGTGCTTCCCCAAATGAGTTGTGTTCTTGCAGATGTCCTTATCTTTGTTCCCAGGGTACTATCTGTCTGGAATACTCTTCTCCCCACTCCCATCCAACCTGCTGGTTAACTCCTACCTCTCCTTTAGGACTCAGCTCAACCCCCTTATCCTTAGAGAGTTTCCCCTGATTGGGCTAGGAGGCCCTTAGCTCCCATAATCCACCATCTAAGCAATTCTAAGTTTGTTGCCCTGTGAGACTGTGAGCTTCTTAAGAGCAGGAACAATGTCAGATTCATTTTTCCTGATCTGTTGTTCCCAAATTCTAAAAGCTGATGGGCCCCCAAGGCTCAGTCCTCTTCTCGTTATGCTTTCTCCTTAGGTATTTCATCTGATCTCATGGCTTTACATACCATCCATACCCTGATGACTCCCAGACTGATAGCCCCAGCCAAACAATTTCCAACGCAGACATTTACACTTCCTCTATTCTTTTTCCAGAACTCCACATGAGTGACTGCTTATTCAGGTCTCAGTTCAAATGTAACTTTCTGACTACTCATTCTTAGCGGTCCCACACCCACTCTCTCCCCTTAACTTGTCTTACCTTGTATCTGAAATTAAATAGCTTACTTGTTTATTGTCTGTCTCTCCCACCATACCATCCCATGAAATTGGTAAGTATTGATTCATTGCTTTATTCCAGAGCCTATGACAGTATTTGGCACATTGTAAAAACACTTATTAAATACTTGTTGAATGAATTAATGCCCAACATAGGTCTGGCACATAATACTTGTTGACATTCGAAGGCTAAGGGTCCAATACTGTGCAGAATGTACCACAGGAATTGCTTCATTTGACCTTAAATATGACCATTAGCTCCATTTTACACTGAGACCCAAGGGTTCAGTAGCTTGCCCGGGAAGGAACATGAATACTGGCAGCCTGATCCAGAGCTTACTTTCTTCACCACTGCGCTATCCTCTCATTTACCTCTGGAAGTATTTAAAAGATGTACTCAAAGGAAAGAAGGGAGGGAGGGAGGGAGGGAGGCAGGTCTCAGCTTCTCTATCTGGTGGAGGAGAAAAGGACTTCTAGTTTCGATGTTCTGTGGCTCTAGCAGGAGCAGATATCCACACTTCCCTCAGCTCACAACTGGACAAAGGACAGGGGTCCCCCCTCTCACTGCCTGAGCCTGGTCCTGGTCCTTGGGCATCCCCAGTACAAAATTTTTTAAAACACAGGAAGTGGGTGAACTGCTCCTGGAAAGCAGAAAACCAAGATGCAACTCAACCTCCTCCATGAGTGATACACAGTAACAGCCAAGCAAAGGGTCCTTCCCTGCAATATTTATTAAGGAATTTACACATACACAGGAGAAAGGCAACCAGGAATTGTGGTTCCCACAGGTGAAATCTTTTAAGCAAAGTTTTCTCATTTTAATTTTCAGGTAGGGTGAACAATGACTGACAGGAAAGCTGTCCAGGCTCTCTGCCTCACACACCTGGAGAAGGTGGGGAAACAGAGCAGCCTGGGATACACAGGCATGAAAGAGTGATTGGCAGATTGGGGGGGGGGGAGGGAGCTATGCATGAGATTGCAATTTTTTTTTTAACCATATGAAAAAATGGCAACAGTTTTAGGCTGTTGATAAATTAACTCCTCTCTGTGTAAACCTAAAACAAAAACAAAACACCCAGAGCAGATGGGGAAAGAGTGGGAGGTGAAACACACACACACACACACACACACAAGCAGTACACACATTAAGCTGTGCATTCCCACTGGAGGGGCTGGTCCTCCAGCCATAGAGCCAGATCCCACTGCAGGTAGGATGGAGGTGGGGCAGGGTGTGTGTTCTTGTGCAGGACCTTTGTAAAGTCTTTGGTGCTAATAAAAGCTGACTGAAGCCATGAGTCCTGAAGCCTCAGGTCCAGAAAGCATTTCAGGGCAAAGTAGAGTAATATTTTTGCTCATTCTCACAGGAGGGGGTTTGCCTCAGCCCAGGGCTAGGGCCAACCTGATCTAAGACCCAAGGAGTATTTAATTTGATTTCAGTACTTTCTTCATTCCCATAAATTATGGGAGCACAATATCTCCCTCTTCAACCAAAAATTTAAACATGTAGAAATAGCTTAGCAACACATACAGAAGTACCTCTGAACCCTCCCCCCTTTGCCTAAAAGACAACACGTCCAGACCTTTCTGAGAGTCTGATAGGAGGTTTAACCTCAGGGGAAAGGTACTCAAAGGTGTGCACCTTTCTCCCAGTTTAAGTGCCTTCTGCCAACAATTCCTAAGGTGCTGGTACCAGGAGAGGACGGGTTGAGGCTGCAGAGGAAGTCGGGATGGCTAAGGGACACGTACAACATAGAGCAACAGAGAGGTCTGCGTGTCCAGGAAGTGGCTGGGCTGGGCAGAATGCCAAACCCCAAACAACAGATTGAGCAATTTCTAAACCAAACAGAGAGGTAGGAAAAGGGGATGGGATGGGGGAGTTGGGGAAAGAGGAAAACTGGGAGAGAGAGGGTTGATGAGAGTGGTAGCCATACAGGTGTTTTGTTTTTACTTCCACATCTGAGGGCTGAGAGTCTGATTTGCTGCCTGTCCATTTCCGCCGCTCATCGACTGTCCATAGCTCAGCACGCCATGGGCTCCACAGAAGTTCATCCCAGCCATCTGCTGGGTCATCTGAAAGGGAGAGAGGAGACTTTCAGACCAGGCTGTGGGCATGCAGCCAATTACTGCAAAAAGGCAGGGGAGGAGTCCTTCCGTCTGTGGGGAGGGGTTGAATAGGACAAAGGGAAACTGTTATGGTACAGATCTGCCCTGAACCTTAATAGATCATTTTGAGGGCTCCAGACCACATAAATGAAGGACTTCTCAGAAGGGGGGTGTTGACAGAGACTAATGCTCAGGGAGGGAAAGGAGTCCTGGAGCTAGTCAACATCAAAGCAGCATGAGACGTTATTCTTTTTCCTTTCTAGTCTCTCATCCTAAAAAGAAGGGGCCTATTGTTAACTTGCCAGCCCCGAGAGTATGCAGACGAGCCCCCAGAGCAGCGCTCCTGTCTTATGTCCAGCAGAGTTATTACTGTCAGTGCCACTGAAAGTGGTTGTGCATGCTCAAGCCGAGAGAAAAGGAAAAAGAAACTGGACTGTTTGGAATGAACAAAGGAAGGCAAAAAAAAGAAAAAGAGAAAAAAGACCAATGGGTCTTCGGTGTGTGAGAGGGGAAGTTGCTGGGAGAAAAGAACCAGTAGAATAAGGTCTGGGTGGAGCTGGGGCCTCTTTATGAATGAGACTGAAAGACTGGCCTCTAGCAGTGAAGAGAGGAAACTATTTATCAAGAAAAATGCCTTAAATTTCCCAAGCCCGGGACATTTCTGTGTAAGTTCTTTTTCTTGAGGAGAAGGGCTATTTTTCTCCCACCAACTTCTTTTTTTTTTTTTTAATTTTATTTATTTATTTGAGAGAGAGAGAATGAGAGACAGAGAGCATGAGAGGGAGGAAGGTCAGAGGGAGAAGCAGACTCCCTGCTGAGCAGGGAGCCCGATGCGGGACTCGATCCCGGGACTCCAGGATCATGACCTGAGCCGAAGGCAGTCGCTTAACCAACTGAGCCACCCAGGCGCCCTCCCACCAACTTCCTTTTTAAGATTTTATTTATTTATTTGACAGAGAGAGACACAGTGAGAGAGGGGACACAAGGAGAGGGAGAAGCAGGCTCCCTGGCTGAGCAAGGAGCCTGATACGGGACTTGATCCCAGGACCCTGGGATCATGACCCGAGCCGAAGGCAGATGCTCAACCGACTGAGCCACCCAGGCGTCCTGCCCACCAACTTTTTAAAAGAAAACCTCAAGCTTATAGAAAATGAAAGAACAATATAATGGAACCCATGTATCCTTCCTTAAATTCACAACTGTTAACAGCTTGCCCCATTTTTTCTCTGAGATCTATATATCTTGTATGGGACCTTCATACATACATATGTGTACATGTTTGATGCGCCCTGAAAACTGCAGATGTCCTGACATTTCACCTTTTAGTAAGTCAGGAGGCATCTCAGAAGAAAGAACACTTTCCTGGACCCACAATACAAGAAATTTAATATGAATACAATACTCTAATATAGGTTACATTTCATTTTCATATCTCCTTAGTCTCCTTTAATACAGAAAAGTTTCCCCACCACTTTTTCTTTCCTGATATTGTTTTTGGAATCCAGTCCAGTTATTTTGCAGAAAATCCTTCCATTTGGATTTATCTCACATTTTCTCATGATGGGATCCAAGTTAAACATGAAGTGATATCGTGTCCTTCTCAGTACAAGATACCAGGAAGCACGTGATGTTCATTTGTCCCATTGTTGGTAATCTTACATTTTTTTTAAAGATTTTATTTATTTATTTGAGAGAGAGAGAGAGAATGAGAGAGAGAGCATGAGGGGGGGAGGGTCAGAGGGAGAAGCAGACTCCCCGCCGAACAGGGAGCCCGATACGGGACTCGATCCCGGGACTCCAGGATCATGACCTGAGCCGAAGGCAGTCGCTTAACAAACTGAGCCAACCAGGCGCCCGGTAATCTTACATTTGAGCACCCGCTACCACGGGTAGTATCCACCATGGTTCGTTTGTTTTTTTTTTATTGTAATTAGTAAGTAATCTAAAGGGTCTTTCTTAGAGAATATGTGAATCTCCTGTTCTTTCTACAATTACCAGTTGCCATTCTTCTGTAAAGAAAGCTTTCCCTCCCTCTTTCCTACACCCATTTCAAAAAATGTATCACTATGGACTCATGGGATTCATTTCCTTTAGTGTTATAATCCATCAGTGTCATTCCTATTGATGTTCAACTTGTCCCATATTTGGACAGTGGGAGCCTCCAGAAGTTGGCTCATGTGTCCTTTTGACATGTTCTCACCAGTTTCATAGCACTTCATTACTTATACAAATAAACATGAAGGACTGAAAATAGCAAATTAAAATCCCAACTATGAAAGCTAGAAAAAGACGATCAGAGTAAGTCAAAAGGCAGATATAAAAGGAAATAATAAAGATAAACCAGAAATTGAGGTCAAAAACAAGCAAAGAAAAAATGTAGAATAAATAAAACAAAATCCTGTGGGTTTTTTATATATGTATATGTATAATTAACAAAATAGACCACTAGTTAACCTAATAGAAAGGGCAAGGGGGAAGGAAACCACAAACATACAAAACAAGACATGACAAGGGAGAAATAACCATTGAAACAGGAAACTTTAAAAAATCATGAGACAGACTGCTTGGCTTAACCTTTGATAAATGAATTTGAAACTCCTGATAAATTAGCTAATCTAGGTAAACAGAGTTTTCCAAAGCTGACTTTCATAGAACAAAGAGAGAACGCTATCAAAGAATTACTATATAAAAAAGCAAAAGGCCTGCACAATTGCACGTGGGAATTCTACCCAATCTCCAAAGACCTATATAAACTCTTCCAGACTACAGAGAAAGGGAAACATGAACATAGTTTTTATACAGCAGGTGAACATTGTCACCCAAACCTGAGAAAGACAGTGTGTGCACGCATACGTGTGGGCACGCACACATGCCACTCCGACTCTTTGCCCATCTTTGTGTTCAGACTTTAAATCACTTTGTTTCAGTGGATTTTTTTGTATCTAGTATAAAATTAGGCATTGCTTTGTAAGCCAATTTAAACATCTTTTTCTTTTCATAGAAGAGCTACCTGTTGATATGACTGATGTTTGGTCTTAATTCTATCATGTTACATTTTTACTGTGTTTGTTATATTTGCTGTACTTCATAGTCTATGTATTCCATTTTGTTGTAAAGTACTCCTTTGGTATTTATAAAGCTTCATCTTTTGTTCTAGGGGTTACCTTTATACTAATAATTTCTGTCTTTTGCTTCCTTTATTCTGTACTCAAGCTTCTACCATTTGGCGTGTCAGCTTATTACACCCTTTAACTTCCACCTATTTCCTATGCAACCATCAATTTATCCTACCTCCTCCTTTTTACCTTCTCCTCCTCTTTTTTTATCTTCTCCTCCTCTTACCATTGTTTGTTCTGAGTAAAACATATGTTTTTCTATCCTTGTCATTACCTTAGTTTTAGTCTTAGATTCTCAATTAAACATTTATTCACCATCAGTCGTTTTGCCAAAATGTCCCCACTCATTTCTTAGATGGATAAAGCTTATCTTCTGGTACATTCCACAGGAAAGACTTGTAAGTATGATATTCTCTGATTTCTTGCATATTTAAGATTTTTTTAAACAGCCTCAATCCTTAAAGGATAGCTTGTCTGGCTGTAAAATACTTGTCTCACATGTATGTGAGTATCTTGAAAATACTACTCCCATTGCTTTTTTTTTTTTTTTTTTAATGTTGCTGTTAGAAGTCTAATGTCAAGCTGAGTGTTCTTTTTTTCTTTAAAAAATGGCAGATCTGGGGGGATGGGAGGTAAAAAGAGGGTTGGAGCCCTGAGAATTTTTCTTGTTCCATAAAATCTAAAAGTTTACTGGGATATATGTTAGAGTTGACCATTCTGGGTCAGCTTTTCCATACACAGTGGGCTCCTTCAATATTATATTGAAGTCTTTTATTTATAGGATATTTTCTTGTATTATAGATTTAAATATATTAATTCTGCTCCACTATTTATTTTTTCTTCTTTGGAGTCTCCAAATATATTTATGTTAGGCCTTCTTTGCTTAATTTCTACATTACCTTCTCTTGGATTTATTTTCTTGCTTCCTATATTTAGTTTCCATTCTCTGACCTGTGTCATACCTTTCTTCAATGGCAAATATATTTTCAGTTGAATCTATTCTCCTTTGGCTAACTTGTAATTCAGACTTTATTTCTAAGATAATTGTGTCTTTCTTCAATTTCTTTCCTGAATTCAATAAAGTTTCATTTCATAACTTCCAGTTTTTTGTCCATTTTGGTTCTAAGTTTTTAAATTTCTGATTCAAGCTGTTTCATCTTCAAGTGTTAAAGGACATTTCATTCACGTTGGTGGCTTGTGTAACAGTTTTCTTCTGTTCATGGATGTTTTGGGAGGGAGAATTTTCATTTCTTGATATGTTTTGATTTTCATTTTCTATTTTCTTCTCATAGCAGTTTGTATAAATGTCACCTGCCACTTTCTATTTATTTTGTAGTGCCTTATTTTTCCGAATCAGGAATAACAGGTGTGAGAGTTCCGGGAGGCTTACTAGATTTCTTAGTTCAAGAGCACCCTCTTCTGTTGGTATAGTGAAATTATTTGGAAGGAGGGGAGAGGATGGTTTATCTTCTCATTTTGTGATTCCTTTTTCCACTTCTCATTTCTTACTTTTCCTTCACTACCAGGTCCCCAAAGAGCACCTCTTCCTTCTAAGTCACCCCCATAGGGGAGGCCTGGGTGGCTCAGTCGATTAAGCATCCAGCTCTCAGTTCTGGCTCAGGTCATGAGGGTCGTGAGATCAAGCCGAGTCAGGCTCCACGCTGGCTGGGCATGGGGCCTGCTTAAGATTCCAAGTCACCCAGGGCGCCTGGGTGGCTCAGATGGTTAAGCGTCTGCCTTCGGCTCAGGTCATGATCCCAGGGTCCTGGGATCGAGCCCTGCATTGGGCTCCCTGCTTAGCCGGGGGCCTGCTTCTTTCCCTTCCTCTGCTTCTCCCCCTACTCTCTCTCTCTGTATCTCTGTGTCTCAAATGAATAAATAAAAAAAAATCTTAAAAAAAAAAAAAGATTCCAAGTCACCCCCATTACCCTAGAAGTAATGCTTTTCCAGAGCTACCACCTTTAACCCCATGTATTTCAAGCCCCTCATTTTCAATTCTCCACATAATTAGAGTTCTAATTGCTAAGTCTCAGACCTTTTCTCATCATGCCTCTAATCAGGGTAGGTCTTCTTTCCAGGGGGTGATTTTATCTATGTTCTGTCACCTCCAGGCCCTGCTCCCTCTCCTCTTTCCACATAGTCACTCTTATGCTGGCTCTGCCGGATTTGGTTGTTTACTGCCATGTAATTTGAAGTTCGCAGTATTCTGTCTACTAGATGTGGCAGTCATGGGTTATGAGTGGTTTTATTTGCATTCCTTATTTACCTATATAGGGTTTTTTAAATTTTTGTTTTCAGGAATGTGTGGAGAAATTTAGATTGAGGCAATTACCCTCATTCTACAGTAACCCAGAACTCCTCAGAAAGTCTGACATTAGGTAGACCTTCTAGGAAAAAAAAGGGTGGGGAAGGGTGGCAAACCTAAGAATGTCTCTGCATTATCTCCTTTATGTTATAAGGGTTCAAAGGATAAGGGAGTGATGATGTGAGACAGCCTTGAGGAAGGCTCAAAACTCTTGTCCCGAGGAAAATGGGGTAGCTTACCTGAGTAAGGTTCCACTGCAGCTGCTGAGCTGGCTGAACCCCATACATAGTCTGCGGCACAGCTGCCATGCCTGCCATGTAGCCAGCCTGCTGGGTGGTCATCATTCCATTTGGCACACCCATCATTGAAGCCTGCATGCCACCCATATAGCCTGCAGGCATGGCCATGGGGGCAACCATGCCAGAAGCTCCTGGCTGAGCTACCATGCCTACTGGCGGGGGCATCATACTCCCCATTATGCTGTTAGGAGGTGTGACCCCAGGGAAGCTGGGGTACGCTGTGGGATACGCCATCTGAGCTGGAGCCATGAACATTGCTGCCAAGAAAACAAACAGAGAACTATTTAAGAGGAAAGTGTACCAAGTCAGTCCAAACCCACTGGCTACTCCTTTCTGGCTAAAATTTCTCAGTAGCATTTCTACCCAACTCAGAATGCTCTTTTACATAGCAGAACACTTAGATTCCCTACAAGACTTGCAGTGGCTTACCAGTGGACTGCTGACCTAGCCACTTTCCTTTCAGGGTCCAGGTCCAGACCTTGAGTCAGACTTCATAGAGGTGTGACACCAGACCCCACGAAAGTATGGCTCTGAGTTACATTAATATCTACCTCCTGACACTTTGTAGCTTCACAAAGAATGTCATGTTCAGGCCTGTTTAGGGTATAATGTCCTGGGCCCCCAAAGCAACTACCCTCTATTACACAAATAATTCCTGCACATAAGTCCTCATGTCTCTATCTAGTATAATGCCACCACCCCCATGAAACCTACCTTGGGCAGGCATTTGAGGTGTCTGGGATCCATACAGCGAAAGGATGGAGTCTTTAGAGAGTTGTTTCTTGCCTGTTTCTTCTGATTTGCTCCCTGGCTCTGGAAACAGGTTCAGGTTTTCAGGAACAGAGCCAGCACTCCCTGGAGTTGGCATGGAACCTACAACCTTAGGGCAAAGAGAGCAGGGGGAGAGGGGAGAATTGGAACGGTCCTCACAGAGGTCTCGGTAAGGACCGCCCTCATTTCTCTGCTGCTTCTACATTCATGGGCAAGTGAATAGCTTCCTGACATTTCTACCACACAAATATTGAAAACACCTGATAGTTAAGCTCTGGTACCATTCTTTATTCTACAGTCGAACAATGTGATTTGGTGAAAAACAAACAAACAAACAAAAATCTACAAATGATGCAGTCACAGAGAACTGAGTTTAGATCCCAGCACAGCCATTTACTAGTTGCATAACGAGAGGCTAGTCATAACTTTTCTGAATTAATGTTTCCTCATCTATAAAATACCCATTTTGCAGGGCTGTGGTAAATATTTTCAGTTATAAAAGAAATATGCAAATGGATATACAAAATCACCTAGTGCTGTGCCTGGTTATAAGCAGGTATTCCACAAATGGTAGCCATTAACAGTTTCAAGTCTTTCACACCTCCAAATTCTCTGGCAGTAACCCTCATGCTGGGGAGCTGACAAGTACCATCCTTTACAGTGTGACACACCTTCAACAGAAGCCCACTCAAAGGACCCACTTTTTGGGGGGCAGGAGACAAAATGGAATGATAGTAATCCTAGGCTGTAACAGAGATGACAGGGTTAAGGGAAGAATCAAGAATTAAGAAAACCAAAGTCCAATTCCATCAAGGAAGTATGAACTGGTTCCATATTATCAAAATTATTCTTTTCAGAATGTTCTTTAATTCTAAGGCGCCCACATGACTCACCTTTCTGGAAACTGAAGAAGAGGGGGATGGAACAGAAGCCAAAAGGTCTAAATCCTTCTCTAGGGTATTGCTAGTCTTACTGTTTGCCATGGAGCAGGACACAGGAGCATCTGGAAAGAGAGAGCAAAGCTCAACTGTAGCACTGCTCATTAAGCCCATGCCTTCCTTCTATTCTAGACACAAAGCAGACAGAGAAAACCTATATGCTCCATCAGGGACCTGGAAATCTAGGCTTCAGAAACCATTTAGCTTGGATGGGGCATCTCAAAAAAGGCTTCACCTTACCTTCCCAGGAGCATGCTGGAGAAGCCTGTGGCCCAGCTATCTGGGATGGGGCAGCAGAAACCCAGACCTGAAGGCTATATCAACCTCCTTGCAAAGGGGCTGGCTGGCTCCCTTCTGGCTATATGAGGCAGAAAGCTGTGTAGCTTTCATTTCTTTTTTTCAGAGATAAATGGAAGGTATAGAAATTATAAACCTAAATAGCCAATAACCTAAATCAGCAGAAATGCACTGAAACCAAAGTACAGCTGTGATATCTGCGAAAGATAAAGAATACGTTCTATTTCTGAAAGGGGCAGAACCACTAGTTCAGGGTTTTAAAGGTTTGGAGAAAAATAACCACAAGGTTAATAGGCCATCTCAGAAACAGGATGCACCTGAAAAATGAGAGAGATGGGGACATGGCTCCTGGGTGCTGGTTTAGTGAAACTTGCTAACATTTACTGAATGCTTAGTTTGTGCCAGGCAAGGGGCAAAGAGCTTGAAAGGAACGATCTCATTGAATCCTCCCAACAACACTTTTGAAGTAGAGATGGTTATCATCCTTATGACAGATTAGGAAAGCAATGTTCAGAGGTTAAGTAAACTAACCAGGGTCACAAAGATAGTAAGTGGCAGAGATGGGACTCTGACTCCAAACCACTACGCTATACTGTCACTCTGAAAAGTGTAAACACTTCTTAGAATGACTGCTCAGATGTAAAACAACAGGAAAAACATGAGAGAACAATCTTAGCGATGAAGACACAAACTGAAGAATCCCATCACTACCTATCTTCCCAGGGTGACAGAGAATTCATCATAATGTGTAAGATTATGGAAGTGGGAAAAGTCTGACTCTTACCAAGGCCCAACAAATCCATGACAGGGGCTGAGGATTTCGGGGAGCTTTTCCGAGGTAGCTGTGGATCTTCTTTTTTCTGTGGCTAAGGTGAAAATATGTTAAAGAAAGAAGTAAGCAGGTGTTTTTGAACGCTTTTTTTCCTTCATCACTGTAAAGCCACAGGTGTTCTTGTGGTATTCCTCAGAGTTCCAAAGAAAGAAAACTCAGGAAGTGTCAGGCGAAAGAATCACATCAGGAAACACAAGTGCATTAACCAAACCTAAAGTGAAAAAGATATCATCTGTGCTTGTTTGGCTTTCTGAAACCAAGACAACCACAGATCAGGAGAGCCAACAAAAACAGCAGGTTTTGATCCCAGGAAAAGCTAAGAATAAAGATAGGTGTCTGGTGGTGTAAGAGCCGAGAGCCAACAAATCTCCCAGTGATTAGAAAAACTTTAATACCAAAAGGGAGATCAGTTTAAAGATTACCTAATTCACTCTGCCCGTATCATTAATGACTGGGTTCTGCAGACAGTACGATTCAGAATGATAATCAAAGACGCTTTCTTAAGCAAATAGTAAAAAGTCCTCTCTCCCAAGATTCCAAGCTCTTATATTAGAGTATCCACTACTACAGCCACAATGTCCTGTGAAAAAAGAAAGGTGTCTACTTCAAGATGACAAAGCAAGAATACAGAAGGATTAAAACAGATCAGACTGGCTTCGGACTGTTCTTAACTGCAACAGGAAAATGAGGTAGAGAGCGTCTAATGAGAGAGGATGCATGTAGCATCTGCTTCAGGAGGTGTCACAGAGTCACGGCATTCTGGCATGGACCATGCCTCTTGCTCAGATGGGACTGATGCAGTTCCCAAACCCCCAACTGGCCCCAGAAAGAAGCATCACGGAGCAGATCAGGCAACAGCAAGGCAATGGGAAAGCATCAGAAATGGCAGCCGGCAATCTAATCTAAATGTGGAACCCTTTGGCCCCAGGTAAAATGGTGCAATATGCTACCAACCCCACCCCACCCACTAGAAAGCCTCCTTCCCCTCCCCTCCGCGTATAAACACATCCGAGGCCATCCACCTAGTGCAAAAACTTTCCCACTTACCATTTTAACTTTCTCAAAAACAACAGGTTCCATTTTTTTCTCTGGAGCTGGTTCACTTCCTCTTTTCCACTTGTCATCTTTTTCTTTCTATATAATGATTTAACAAAACAAGACAAAGAACACAGGCCCCATGGTGAATAACAGTTTGACAAATTATTAATTCCAAATGTGCAAAAAGAACAGAAAAAGTTCCTACTGAATCTGATGCAGGAGTCTGACAAACTTGGGGGTTTCTTTGTACGGGGCATGAGAGCTGGTCTCTTCCACATTAGCCTCAATACTGTAACAGGCATCTTTCACATCTCATTAAGTACCTCCTTGTTCTAACTCACCTATGACTCCTGAAATGTGAGTCCAGGCTACCTACAGAAGTTAAAAACGTTTCATCAGTTGGCTGCCCCTTTGGGACCCAAGTTTAACTTGCTCATCCTTTGAGGGGTCCCCCCTCATCTTGGTACACCAGTAAATAAATTCGTGTTCATCTTGACATACATCCTCTGTGATTTTAAATTCAATCATAAGTCCTCTCAATCTTCATCTCCTTTTTTTAAAATCAGAAAATAAACTGTAATTTCAAGCTTAAAGATTAGGAAAACAAAAAATTAAGGAAATAAGGCAAAAAAAAAAAGAGTAAAAGAATTAAAGTATCCCTTTTAGGGTGTCCTGAATGAGTTGCCTGAATAAAATAAAAAAGCACATCAAAAATAAAAGGTTAGAAAGTCTCAGTTTTTGTTACTTCCAGAGGCAGTTTCATAATACTTTCATAGATTATAATGTTATTGGTCTCATTTTTAACATCAAATGAACATCTAAATGCAAAACAGAACCACAGGGTAAACTTAAGAACACGGACATATAAAAGGAAGTACATTCAAAAAAATATTCAGCCTTGCCAATGATCAAAAAGTGAGATTTAAAATACTTGTTTGGGGGCGCCTGGGTGGCTCAGTTGGTTGAGCGACTGCCTTCGGCTCAGGTCGTGATCCCAGGGTCCTGGGATCGAGTCCCGCATCGGGCTCCCTGCTCTGCGGGGAGCCTGCTTCTCCCTCTCCCACTCCCCCTGCTTGTGTTCCCTCTCTTGCTGTGTCTCTCTGTCAAATAAATAAATAAAATCTTTAAAAAAAAATACTTTTTTGAGGGGAGAAAGATCTCAAAAATAATACCTAATGTTGATAGGGATGGAGTAAAACTAGCTCTCTTCTACAATGCTGAGAAGACAGCATAAAACAGTACAACTTCTGGGAAGTATACTGGCAAAAGTAGGAAGAGACAAATACTGAATCCCTTTGACCTCGATAATACCATATCTTGTAATGTATCTTAAGAAAATAATCCAAAATATGGAAATATAATCTTATGCACCAAGAAGTTCATCCCAGAATTATTTATGCTGAAGAAAAATTTAAACAACCTTTCTTGTCTTCTATATTGTCTTCTCCACAGAAGGAGAATGGTAAAATATACTGTGATCTAGTAACTCACTGAAGGGTGCAACAATTAAAAGTTATGAACATTATATAAGTAACATAAAAATACATGATATGCTAAATTGAACGAAAATAGTAGACAATCTATATAACTATTATAATTGTGCCTCCTAAAAGTAACTACAAAAAAGAGGTTACACACCAAGGTGATCATCACTGGTAAAGATGATAAAGGTAGGCATGGATTTTCCACTTTAATTTTCATATTATCTGTAATATGATATTATAATCACAAAGAACACATGTGACTATGTCTGTTTCATACATGATGTAATGCTTTAATACAGAACACTTTATTTCTTGAAGTGAAAAATGCTTTATCTGTCCATTTAAAAATAATACTCTAACAGAGCCACTTTTTTTCAATTTGATATTAACTGTCTTCACTTACCAAATATTAATTCTTGGCATATAAATCTTCACAAGAATATTTTTAAAAACTAAGTACATCAAATAAAAATTCTTGGGATAGCTTTTTGGTAAACAGGAGGTATTTCTTTCCTAAGTGAAAACATTCAGTGAGTAAAACAGGCTGTTTACATGGGTACAGTACACCAGCAACATAATTCTGAATGAATAGTATCTTCACATGGCAACTCTTCCCTCCTCCCCCATCTTCTGGAGTATCTCAGATACTCTTTTCTGACCTCATCTGATTTCATATCTTTTGGTACAATGAACAGAGCTAAGCAGACAGACTACAATTTTCTATAAATCAAAGGAAATGTGTGTGCTTTGGTTCCAAACTCCTTTTGATGATGCCATCCAAGCTGTGGCTGTACACTGGGTTGATTCTTTCGTGGAACAGTTATGACAAATTCCAAGTCCCTTTTCTGGATGACTATGAAGTAAGAGTCCTTCACACTAAGTTGAGAAGAAATTATCTTTACTTAACTAAATGTAGTACCTTGCACTTACTTGCCTACATTGAAACTCACCTACTAGTTGATACCCCTTTTCACACAAGCCCAAAAGATCAATCTGGAGCAGATTCCAATTAGTTTGACTTTAAATTACCTGGAAGGACTTAGAGCCCTGTATATCCTCCGTTAAAATACAAAACTAGATAGATGATAGATAGGACTCACGCTAGAGCTGGAGAATCCCATACTCTCTATACTTCTGTAGCTAAAGAAATAGTCAGTTATTCCTAAGCAAGTTTACTATAGAATTTATCAAAGGCTTTTTTAGGTTGTCATACTGGTTCCTCTTTAGTTGTCATTAGTCAGGTGCCTTTTCTTCTTCTGGAAACCTTTTGTATTTCCTCCTGTATGTTATACTTGTCCTAGTTACACTGTATTTCAGATTCTAACCACAAGCCTAGGATGGAAAGTGAGCTTGGCAACTGGTAGTCTCTTTCTTTTTTTTTTTTTAAGATTTTATTTATTTATTTGACAGAGAGAGAGACAGTGAGAGAAGGAACACAAGCTGGGGAAGTGGGAGAGGGAGAAGCAGACTCCCCGCTGAGCAGGGAGCCCGATGCGGGGCTCGATCCCAGGACCCTGGGATCATGACCTGAGCCAAAGGCAGACGCTTAATGACGGAGCCACTCAGGCACCCCTGGTAGTCTCTTTCTAAAACCCTTCTCAGGAACAGGGTCCCACTGTGTCCATTGACACACTGGAAATACACACTGGTCAAACTGAAGAAAACTTTGGTGATTTAATTAATTTTGTTGACTTCATTTACAGAAAAAAATACATATATACACAGACATTTATATAAATAGATACACACACATATTACTGCTTGATCCAGTATGCCCAACATGTCCATTTGAAGAATAATTTGGAACTGGGAATCACTTGCACCTAAATACAGATCAAGGCAAAGAACTCACTGATGGTTTGCCCTGTCTGTCCCTGACACAAAAGTCTGCTCCATGATATCTCATGGCTTTGATTCAATAACTGGCTTTTTTCTACTTTTTTAAAATGATTTTGGAGTATTTCAGTAGCTCTTCTCAAATTCTTCCCTGGCCTGATTTATAAGCAAATTACTCATTTTGAACAAAGCTTGAAAGATTTATAACCAACCCTAAAGGCATTGATGTCCAAACTTCGGTCCATGTATTTCTTCTTCTCATATTTATCTCGAATAAATCCCTCGACAGCTCTGCAAAAAGCTTATTAAGGATAAATCAAACAAATCTTTCCCACAGTATGACTCTAAAAGGCCAATCTGTATTCAACGGAATGTTGTTCTCCTCTCTCCCTCCTGCCTGGTTTCTCCATATGGCTCCTGTTTCTTCACATGCAGTTTCCCTGACCAAAACCTTAAAATGCTCCCTTCACAGTTACTGCAGGGAATCACCATTTCCTATGATTTTCCTTCAGGATAATGATAGCAGCAAATGGGATTAATCTTCATATTGACATCAGAGGAACCCGTGGCTCTTCTAGAATACAGGTAAAGCAGTCAATTATCTATTTTAAAGCCCTTGGGTCAAAGACCTTAAACAAAGGCACATGAGTGCCCCTTAAAACTATAAGCCCTTGAGTCCCACTACCAGATTCTGATCAGTGTCTCTTCTGCAGGGCCCCAAAACTGCATTTTAACAGGTTCCACCAGTACCCAACAAAAAGCTAACTCTAACAAGACAGTCTAAAAACCATATTTTAAGAAGCACTGCCTTTAGGGGGTTTGGTTTTGTGAGTAGGGTGCTATCCCCTGTTGAGGGGATGGGGGAAGAAAGTTATTGATTAACTGGTCAATAACAGTTCATTCTTTCACATAGGACATAGAAAAGGCATTAAAAATGAATGGTAGTTTTGCTGATTCAATACAGCAATCTATTCTTTTTAGCACACAATATTTTCAAAGATCAAAAAACTATCAGACATGTCACTTTATGGGAGAATTCACAGTGAACCACTGCAGTCTTAATTCCTGAATGAGTCTTCCCCATGTGACAGCACCATTCCGATATTAGAAAGTATAAATATGCTTTCTGTATGTGTTGGTGGCAGGAGAGAGAAAAGCAAGACTGACTAAACCACATAGAGATGGCCCGGTCAGATCAAGGGGCTTGAGTCTTGTGTGACTCTCCCAAAACACAAAAATACCAGTTAGCCTTCTAAGTTGCTCCAGAAAAGATACGGGTCTATTTGAGGTCGCCGAAAAGTCTCAGGAAGGTAGGCTTCATAAAGTCGGTTTGCCTTTCCATTCCCCATCTCTTGCATGCACTGTAATCAAAGAGATGTGGAAACATGGAATGTCAGATGAGGAAAGACTCGAAAAACTTCTCGCCCAACTGCAGCATTTTACAATTGAAGAACCAACCTGAGAGTGGCAGAACCAAGATCTATGTGCATACTCTGATTTCCGGTCCACAATTCTCTCTACTCTATTGCCAATCATTTGCCTCCACGGTTGTCCTTCCCACCCCCCACCCCCTAGTGCTTTTTATTGAAAAATTTGTCTGACAAGATATATTTAATTCAGTAATAACTCAAGACTCCATTTGAAAGCCCAAGACACATAACTACCAATTAAAATGTCTACTTGATAGGCAATAATCAGTACCTAATCAGGCAGGCAATAATTGAGCAATAACTACAATTCTGAGTTTATACTATTAATTAATCTATTCAGCTTTATCACGAAGAAATGTGTTTCTCATTAGGCCTTTGAAACAGATTCCTTAATGCTTGTGAGGGACAAATCCCAAAATTTTTTAAATCTTCAAATTTCCAAATACCTCCATGGCATGTAATTTCCTTCATAAGATACAGTAAAGTGTAACTGAAAAATACAACTAATCTTTTAGACTTTTAGTGAATCTATAAAAGCAGTCTAAAGCAATTTCTAAAGCCCTTTTCTGGTTAAGAAAACCTCTTATTTCCATCACCAACTTTAGCAACTGTTTTCTTTGGATCCTTTCTTCCCACCCCGAAACCCCCCCAAAAAAGAAAAAAAGTTTTAATTACTTTTAAAAGTTTTGATGTGGGAAGAGAACAGAGAAGAATGAAGCCACATAGAGGTGCAGATCTTAAGCCAGCTAGACTCGCTAACTTAAGTGTCTTACTCCCAGCCCACCAACCTAACAGCAAGCAAGATTCATACACATATTTTAGCGATAAAATATTATTTCTTTAAGTTGGAGGATTTGTGTGTGTGTGTGTGTGTGCGTGACTATATAAAACTACAAATGTTAGATCTGCACATGCCAGGGGCCTTAGAAAATAATCCAAAGATCCCCCTTTATACCTTGGGGTTATATCCATGGGGTCCTAGACCATAGACTTTGGGTTTTGAAGGAGGTAACATATGGGTAGAATAACTTATATCTTAAATAGAAAGAGTAAAAATTTCTCTATTAAGGTATAAGAATCTGACATAAGTGTTTCACAACTAAATTTTTCTTTATCTTCACCTTTGTGCCCAGTATGACTGAAATTCATATGGAACTACTCTTACATAGAAATACGGGAGCAGCTGACTCACTGTTGGGCTATGTAAGTACCTGAATCTGTTCTTGAGTCCACTGGTCGAGGTTAACTGATTTTACCCTGGATATGTGCACCCCCAGATTCCTGTGGATTCCAGCACATCGAATGCAGATGAATACACCAATGTTCCAGGAGGCCCATCGTGGCCCTGTGAAAGTGAGGAACAGGGCAATAAAATACAAATTAAAACAACATTCAAGGCCCAAGCTGGAATACTTAGATTATCAGACAACATTTCTGCTAGAACATAAATGAGAGAAATGTTACCACATTCACAAAACAGTGGTTTTGTTCACTTCTCCATGGATCAGCGCTTTTTTTTTTTATTTAAGTTTAGCTTAAATTTAAGGGTACAGTACTATGGTTTTTTTAGTATATTCACACAGTTGTGCAACCATTACCACTATTTAATTCCAAAACATTTTCATCCCCCCAGAAAGAAACTGCAAACCCATTAAAGGGCACTCCCCATTTCCTCTCAATTCCTCCCCACCAGTCCCCTGGCAACCACAAATCTCTCTGTCTCTATAGATTTGCCAATTCTCAATATTTCATGTAAGTGGAGTTATACAGTATGTGGGCATGTGTGTATGGAGCAGCTTTTTACAGTGTCCGATAATGTGACTGCTAAAGTGCAGATGTTATAATACTGTTACTTATATAAAAAAAATCCCAGGAGAATAGTGCAAAGTCATGTCACATTCTATTTAGTATCTTGCATGAATAGCCTTCTCTCAAGAACCTTTTCAATGACTGTGGAGCCTGGATTCAGTTTTCCTACTAGGAAAAAAGATACAGACATGCCATGCCAGCCCAAGTCTCAGCCTGAAATTTAAAACTTTATCTTCCCCTCCCCACCAGGCCTATAAAATATGCATCCTGATTAACTTAATAGGATCCTCTCCCCTTGAGCAGCTGTCCCTAGTTTACCCAACTACAGAATTATCTCGATTCAAGACTGTCAAATAACAAAGATGCTTATTGCAATAAAAAAGAAATCTCAGGTATACATTTTAATACAAAACTGTTACATAATCTCCCATCCCTTGCCAACTTTGTTTATTCTAATAATCACTCCGGAAAATCATCAAACTCCTCTCATAGTTTTTATACAGGAAAAAAACAACTTGCTTTTATATGATACCTGCCAAAAAATTACTGAAAAATCACTAATATTTCCTTCTCCATCATTCCACTAGGCAGAAATTTACCACATAAAATAAGCATGATATCAAAGTTAGAGGTTGCAATATAGTGAAAAGACACCAAATGATTTTTTACAGAGATAAACAAGATGTTGGAAGAGCCAAGGGTACCAGACTTCAATTCTGCCAGACACAATTACTTGGTTGGTCTGCAGGTTTTGACAGCCATTTTAATGAAACAATGCTAGAATCATATGGCAGAAAATTATTCTTAGAAATCTGAATTCACGATTATTATTAATAAGAACATAATTTTCTTAATATCATTCAGATATTATGGCAAATACTGTAAATACAGAAAGCTCAAATGCTCCCTATAACCACCAGGTGGTGTACTCTGCCTGAAATTTTATCCCAGTATCTTCTGATTGCTACTATCTTTTTTATTGTTATGTTAATCACCATACATTACATCATTAGTTTTTGATATAGTGTTCCATGATTCATTGTTTGTGCATAACACCCAGTGCTCCATGCAGAATGTGCCCTCCTCAATACCCACCACCAGGCCAACCCATCCCCCCACCCCCCTCCCCTCTAGAACCCTCAGTTTGTTTTTCAGAGTCCATAGTCTCTCATGGTTCGTCTCCCCTTCCGATTTCCCCCCCTTCATTCTTTCCCTCCTGCTATCTTCTTCTTTTTTTTTTTTTTTTAACATATAATGTATTCTTTGTTTCAGAGGTACAGGTCTGTGATTCAACAATCTTACACAATTCACAGAGCTCACCATAGCACATACCCTCCCAGGTGTCCATCACCCAGGCACCCCATCCCTCCCACCTGCCCCCACTCCAGCAACCCTTTGTTTCCTGAGATTAAGAATTCCTCATATTAGTGAGGTCATATGATACATGTCTTTCTCTGATTGACTTATTTCACTCCTGATTGCTACTATCTTGATAGGCTCAGATTTATCTTCTAAAAAGACCTTCAGGGGCGCCTGGGTGGCTCAGTTGGTTGGGCGACTGCCTTCAGCTCAGGTCATGATCCTAGAGTTCCAGGATCGAGTCCCACATCAGGCTCCCTGCTCAGCAGGGAGTCTGCTTCTCCCTCTGACCCTCTTCCCTCTCGTGCTATCTCTCATTCTCTCTCAAATAAATAAATAAAAAATCTTAAAAAAAAAAATTAAAAAAATAAAAAAATAAAAAGACCTTCAGTCCCTTGAAATCTCTAAATGGATTTGCATAGCAGGTCTGCCATACACTTGATACACGCAAATGATGAACACACATCTTTCACTAGTGGGAAACTATATAAAAACAAAATGAAAGGCCTTCCACAGATATGAATGAGGTTTCTTAGGGTGTTGTGTGTCTACATCGGGCTACAGTTTTCATAAAGGAATACAGGTAAGATTTAAGTTATATGGGATTAAAAATGGGACCAAAAGCTAATATTTCATGTTTCTTTACCATTTTCTCTTTACTCTAGATTCTAGAACACATAACGAGATAGTTAAAATATATTTGTTTGCTAACACAATCAGAAGCCACAACACTTAACTAAAAGTTAGCTATGGAATGTTACGCTATTTGCTTCCAGGCCCTAAGTCCACAGAAGGTGATTCCCAATCATCTAAGCCACTGTCACAGCTGTGGAATTTCTCCAGCTCCCATTACAGAGTATGTAAAGTCCCTTTGCCTCTGAGGAATACAAGACCAAGACCTGATACTCTGGAGCCACTAACAAGGCCTCGGTACAAAAATGCAGGCAATAATATTTTCATGAAAATTCGGAGAGCCTCCTCTGCTCCCCTCCCACATCTGTCCACAACCTTTTCCCAGTGAAATAGTGATAGTTCTAGCTCAGACACTCAGCCTCCTTTAGTTTTAAGCCACTAGATTGATTAGTCAATAACTACATGCTCGCTCCATAAATGATTATGAAACTGGGTAAGAGGAAAACACAAAAGACAAAAGTTACTTTATATGGCTGAAAATGTGGAAAATGGTGTTATTAAAAGTACAATTTTTGCAGCCAGAAAAAGCTTAGGTTTGAATGTTAGCTCCATTAATAATTAGCTGTGTGACCTTCAGAGTGATACTTAAACTTGCTAATAAGCCTCAGTTTCATCATCTATAAAATGTGTACCTCACAGAATACAGAGGGATAATAATAGAAGAGAGCTACATGTAATAACATGGTATAGCATGAGATTTCCAGAACCCACTTCCCATTCATCATCTTCCCTGTAAAGGCTAGTTAACTCATTAATATGCATATACCAACACTCTATGCAACACCACAGAACGCTTCTTTTTAGACAGGAATAGGAGTTCCAGTCTTAAAATGTTAGAACCAAAATTGACTGACTGAACATCTGAAAGAAAAAATTTGCCCTGGATCCAATTTCAAATCTTCTAAAAAACATGAAATTTTATAAGCAAATTCCTTTATCTCCCTGAAAATATTCCTTGAAAATATACTATTTAACCCCCACCTATGCCCCTTCTCTGCTGTATTCCCCCACCCTGCCTTTGTGCCCACACATGTATTCACGACACATACAAAGGCCCCAAACTGTCAACCTGACATACTTGGATTCCACGGTACCTGGGATTGCTGCAACAGGCCAGCCTACTTAAATCTGGTAAACTTACAAAGATAAAAACAATTGTTCAATACACATTGGTCATGGCAACGAAGGAGGAAATACAAAAGATACTCCTTCGAAGCTGAAAATGGAGACTCTGAGAGGCAATATTCTCAACTATTTTGAAAGCAAACAGGATAGAGAAGCGATATAAACTGGTAGTAATTAGCATAACACAAGAACAAGGTCATGACTAAGTGAGCATATTCCACAGGTGCCGAAGAGCAGGTTCCAGAATCATTAAGTAATGGTAAAAAAACTAACATACAACCACTCTGCAGTAAGCAATCAGTGAAAATTTTAAAAGTCTATGGATTTGGTTGATCTGTCAAGAATTTGACTGTGGTAAGTACCAGCCCAGGATCAGGGAAATCTGGGCTTACACTGAGTAGTTGCATATGTTCTGACAAGTCTCTCTAGGGCTTATGTTTCCATTTGTAAAACGGAAAGCATGTAAGTAAATCTTATTTACATTCAACTACTGGACAGCTTCTACATACCAACTGTTGCTGCCCCGCTGTAAATTTCCTTTGCTGCTATAACTTCCCCCACCAGCAGACTGCTAGTCTTAGAGGGTTCTGGACTTGAGAAGTCAGTAGAAAGAAAAAAAGTAGAGTTACAGACAGCTTGAAGCTACTATTATAATAATTACAGCTTGTTGATCTCTAACCTATGGAGTTCCAAACAAATAAATATTGAGCAAAGGGAAAACACACTGATACATCGATGGCTACACATACTGAGACTTGCCAGCATCCTGGAGCAGTTGAAAAGATCTTCAACAGGAAGGGTCAAGGAAGAAAAAAATCCCTTCCATCTCACATCCAAGCCCTGTTGAATCTACCCTGGAAACTCCCCAAATCTATCAATCTCTACTTAAACCTATCTCACCTATAAACATTCATTCTTTGAACATTATTTACTGAGTACCTACTATGTGTCAAACACTCTGCCTGCTTAGGTACTAGGGATACAAAGGCAGAGACAGTACAAATGAGATCCCCTGATTCAAAGAGCTCACAGACTAACTGGTTTCTAGCCTCCTACCAGAATAATCTTTCTAAAACTCAAATCTGTACACATCAGAACCCTGAATATAAACAGGTCTTATATAGAGATGAGAAAATGTAAACTGGTACGAATTTTCTGAATGGCATATTCCAAACTAAGCTCTCAATCTCTTGCCACAAAACCTGCTCTTCCTCCATCCTTCTTAGGATCTTAGTCAATTACACCTCCACCCATTCAACTGCATCAGTCAGAAATGTATACCTTTCTCTCTCAACCCTCCATATCTACACCATCACCAAGGCTGAAATCTCTCTCAGTTCAGTTTCCCTTCTCTCCATC